TTAAAAAGAGGTTCATTAATTATTTTCTAAAGTTATCTGAAATAATTCTTTAGTTGACAATCAATACAACAATAACACTAAAGTCTTTTCATGGCTTGACACCTCAGCTTTTTTAACTTACTAAAAACTGACACTTCAGCAAAATCAACAACCAATCAAAAAATTTAATTAATATACAATTTTATTAATTTCTTAATTTAAACCCATTAAAAACCCAAATATTTTTTTTGTTAATCTTTGTTTTATTTTTTACCAAACCCAAGCCCAAATAATAAATAATATTAAATAAAAAAATTGACTCTTTATTTTATTTTTTTCCAAACCCAAACCCAAATAATAAATAACAATAAAAAATTATTTTATTTTTTGCCAAACCCAAGCCCAAATAATAAATAACAGAAAATTAAAAAATTAAAAATTTGTGGATATATTAAGTTCGATTAAACGACAAACTTATTACAATTGTTCGTTGATGCACTGTAACGTCTTATGATTCGGATATATCTTAACATAAACTTGAAACATCTTGGTTCTATATGTGAAAAAGTTTCGAATCGTCTTGTTATTGTTGTGAAACAGAGCTAAAAGGTATGCCAATGGAGATGGTAACTAAGTTAGTATATGAGCATGCGAGGAAGCAGTGTTCTTAGCTCGGTTTGTAATTTCCTAAAAAAACTCTAAATATAGCACGAACAAATCACCTTTTTTAGAAATTGCATCTTTCTATCTTTCACGGTATCCAAAAATCTTATATGTACCTTTTGTTTGTTGTATGAGTAGAAAAAAAAAGAGTGAGTATTGTAGTTGGTTTATAATGTAATAGCCATCAAAATATTTTTAATCAAGAGATTTGTATTTGTGCTTTTGAATCTTTCTTTCCTTAATCTATAGTAGTAATCTCCGTAAAATCATCAAAGCATTGCTCACTATAGCAAATTCATTAAAAATATGAACTGAACTAAACTGAAAAATAAATCTATGAGAATGATCAAGAAAAATAAGTGTAGCTTTTTTTAACTAACCCAAGTTTTGGATTGGGCTCATGTGAGGCTTCTTGTGTAGTCGGCATCGTGGATCTTTTGAGGTGTTAAGTCTACATTGTTTTAGGATTTGGTTTCTCTCAACACCCATTTTAAAATTTTATTGGAAGAGTTATAAATCCAAAAATACAAAAAAATAATTAATTAATTATTGTTATCAAGATTTTTTTTAAGTTTCAACTGGTTATTATTCATAAGCCTTTGTAAGGCAAACATACAAATGGGATTTTCAGGTGGAAATTGAACCAATTTATAATGTCTTAGTTGAGGTTTCTATTGAATTTAGTTCGCTAGGTTAGTTCGACAAAAACTGTTAAAAAAATAACGTAAAATAAATTATATAAGAATCACTAAAACACTTAAAATTAATAATTTAGTGAAGAACTCTAATGAACAAAATACTTACCCAATTAACAAAGTCTCAAGAGACTAAAAGATGCATAGTCATCACAAGAGATGAGAGATGCATAATCTCACTAGATCTCTTCCTCCAATTGTGTCACTTGACAAATTCATGTTACTCATAGTTTCAGAATCTCCATTTAACTCTTTCACTTCAGATGTTGGAAAATGATCATTGTTTCGTATAATAATAAAGGAGAAATGATTTTTTTAAGAAAGGGGTATTTGTTTTTATTCAAAAGAAAGAGATATCAAGATACTCAAAAAGAGAAGTTTTAGCGTGTTATAGTTAGCGTCTTTATTTTATTTCAGATTCATTTATACTATAATTGTTGACAGTCTTCGATGATATAAGTTTAGTATGTGTAAGATCAACATTTTATATTATACGATTTAAATAACATAGCAGCTCAAAACAGAGACAAAGTAAAGATAAACCCTAAGCTGATAACATTTAAATGTGAGGACTATATAAATATGCCAAACATCTATGAATATGTCTTGAGTGAACAATTGTTATTTCTATTTGTTATAAAACAGATTAAAAAAAGTCTTTTTATTATTGAAAAAGAATTTTATAAAATAAATAAAAGTTTATATTAAAGAATAGTTTTATTGTGAATTTTTACGTTTAAAGTATTTTTTCGTTCAAAATGAATATATATGATAATTAATTTCAATCTTGACCTTTTATATTCACAACTTATATATGGTTTTACATCATCCAAGTGTCTATTAGTGTTTTAATTCGACCTCAACTCACCATTATATGTCCTTTTGAACACAACAAAACATCTAATACAAATATTTTTCTAAGAAAACTTACATTTGCACAAAAAAATAAATGATGTGGCATAAATTAGTGTTAAGATGGTTTTACTATTAAGCTTCAAAACTTTAAAGTTTGAAATACTATTCTAAATAATATTTGTGTGCCTGCATGTTCACAAAGTCTACAATCATGAAATGGTAGATCATTAGATATTTTGAACATGTTTTGGAGAAAAACAACTAGATAGGTGAGCGATTATTTTTTAAGTTAAAAAAATATGAAAGTATGATGAAATTAAGTAGGATGTCATTTGAATGAATTTTTATATCAATTTAAAGGGATGCCAGTTTAAGACAGTAAGGATAATACCGTGAATTATGCTCTTGGTAAGAGGAAATTCGGTTAGGTGCAGTAATTACTACAGTTAAAGAATTGCACACGTTCCACCATATGTGTTGCGTTACAACTACCTCTAGTAAAAATTAGATTAACAGTGATTGTGACACAAAGTGCAACTAAAACAGAATTTCATTTACAGATTTATATATTTCTGAAAATATGCATATAATATAAATTTTCATGTATTTTTATTTTATCAAAATATAGCATCAAATCAATAAAAAGATAATTAAAAAATAATCTGCATAATTAAATCAATTTTTGCTTTCATGGTACTTTCATAATATACAAAATGTCAATATTACTTTATTTTTTTCAGATCAAATAATATATTCTAAACAATTAGTTCAATATAAATATTAATTATATAAATTTATATAACGTGTAAATCAACTTCTCGCAGCATAGCGCAGATATATACCTAGTATTAGTTCAATTCTATTACATTGAATTGTTGTACGTTGTTCATTTTTTTTTCTTTTTTTTGAACTTTTGCTGAGTCGTTCATTGCCTGGTCTCATGCAACAACTTAATTTTTTTTTTTCTTAATAAGTATCGACAATCAAAACCATATTAAGAATCTTTTGCTACTAGACTAATATGCGTTAGTTAATAAAACATGGCAGTCACTTTTTTTTTTTTGAACATGACATGGCATTCACTTTCCACTGTAAAACATAAAGAAAAACATATTTTTGTTAACGAAAACAAAGAAACATTTCATTTCGAAGTTAATAAACTAGATGTTTTTTAAATTTCCAATCATTATGTGGAACGGGATTCCATATTGCATCCAACTTCTTTTGTCTCAACCGTTTACAGAAAAAATAAATAAATAAAATTAGCATCATTTTTTAAGTATCACTGAAATTGTCGAGTACATAGCGAATAAAGTAGAGAGAAAAACAACATTTGTCCAACTTTGATGGCTGAATTAGCAAAATGATTAAGATATTCAAACTAGCTCAGATTTATATATATAATAATAACGTAGATCAAATCAGAACATGTCATGAAATACGTGATGTAGTAGTTGGACTTGAACTTCATATGTCACTTCACCTAAACCATTTTATAGATCTGACTCAATTCATTAAAATATTTCATTTAAGTTTTCATTTAAGTGTTTGTATGCACATTTGAAAAGTACGTCAACTATAATCCATAGATATTATTACTAGTAGTACGTTTTGAGTTGTTTGAATGTAATACTATTGGGCTATATTATTTTATTGGGTTTATATATTTGGCCCATACATAATTTATAGATGAACCTTATACAATTTTGAATTGATAAGTCAAAAATTTTGAATGTAAAAATGAATTTTAGATGCATATTTATTTACTTGTTCCAAGTTATTTCACTCTCTTAAAACATTTTTGTACCAAGTTATTTCACTCTCTAGCTACTGACAATAACATTCTGGCTGCAACTGGAAATCACTTTTAGGAATATTATGAACAATAGAGGAATTAAAAAAATTGGAATACAAAGGAATGGAATAAAGGAAGCTATAAAATAAAAGGAATAGAATGAATAATTGTAGAATTTTGTTTTTATTACTCAAATAATAACTATTTAGAGGAATAAAATAGAATACAAATAAATATAATTTCAACTAATTTATATTTAGATAAACAGTATTAAAATGTATATGACAAGAATGCATTTTATTTAAAATTAATAAAATGCTTTAAAAAAAACACAAGTATTATTAAAATATAATACTAAACTTGAACCTAAAACTTAACGATTAGAATTATATAAACAACGTTTTTTAATCCAAATGTCTTTAGCAATTTGATCACGAATAATTCTCATATAAGTTCCAGCTTTAGTACTTTCTTCAACTTGAACGCCTTGATCATCATTTATATCATCAATTATATTTTGGCGACCGTGTAGAATATCACTTTCTGCGTCTGCATCTTCAAACTCAACATCTCCAATGTTGTTTCGACGGATGAAATTATGAAGTCCCATTGTAGCAATAATAACACGCCTTTGTACAGAAATATCATATCTTGGAAACTCATTTAAATCCTCTATTTTTTTTTCCAAACTCCAAATGTACATTGAATTACAGTTTGGATAGATGCATGCCATATGTTAAACATCTCCTTGCTGTTTCGTGGAGCTTCACCATTCAAAAACTCTTGTAGATAATACCTTGTACCACAATTACGTTGCTTTCTATACGGAGCTAAGTAACCTCGGCTATTGGCATATCCAGAGTCTACAAGATAATACTTACCTTCTGGAGGTGTGGGAAACATAGGATCATCTCGAATTGCTGGGAATCATGTGCTGGCCCTGCCATCCCAACAAAACAATGCGTAAAGAGCATATCTGCATCGCAGATGGCAAAAACATTAAGGCTTGTTGTTTATTTCCGACTTATAAATCGTATGGATTCCTTTCCTGGTGTAACCATAACGGGAATATGCGTTGCGTCTAATGCTTCTACAAATCCACTGAAAAAAGGAGAGTATCGAGTATCTCCTTCTAGAGGGTCTGATATAGCTTCCATTTCTTGAATTGTATGTGGTCGTAAATAATCCACAGCCATTCGTTCCATTGCTCCAAGTACTTCATGAAATTTCCGACCTATCGTCTCTTGTGCGTGTCCAAATCTTAAACCAAGATCATATTGAGTATCATTTTGCCCACAAAGAATAAGGAATATTGTAACGCTCTCATCTACACATATGCTATGTGTGTCTTGTAAGCCATACATGCCTTTAAGTAGCCTACACAGATGTGTAAATGCCTCTCTGCTCATCCGCACTAACGTTCGGCATGAACTTTCTTTCTCATAAATCTGATTTTGGATCATACGCCATCCTCCACCCTTTTCTTGATTAATTGGTTCTTTGCAGAAAAATTTACAATAGTAGTCCATCGCAGGGGAAAGGTAGGCTTGCAATATCTCATCTTCTTCCATTAATATCAACTCTGTAAGTTTTTTATCTGATAGATTTTCAGTTCCACATGAAAGTAATTCTGCAATGCGAAGTTCCTGCAACAAAGAAGAAAAGAAAACCTGCGTTAGAAATAAGTGTGTGTACAAACTTATATTAATTTGAAAATATAAAAAAATAACAAATAGAAAGTTTTTGTATTGAACAAATGTTTTATTGTCATTGAGAAAGAAAAAAAATTCATTGTTCTTCTTAAAAATGTAAAAAAAAAAACTAAACTAAACTAGCTCCAGAATCAGAGGTTAAGCCTAACGAGTTAGATCCAAGAACTCCAAGCAAAGATGAAAACTAGTCTCAGAAGATCTTGTTTCAAACATTCCTAATCCCAGACCAAAAACTTGTTGAAGCACTAGTGTTAAATCCAGCCATTTGGGATTCAGACATTGGGAGAGAAGACGTTGGAATGTTGCAGGTCTCTCTTAAGTTGATGATTTGGCATGGATCACCGTATCTATCAATACCACTTAGCCTCTCCAAGAACCTAATTTTATTATCTTCACTTCGTAATTTCATAAATCCATCACGGACTTCCTCTTCATTCATCAGCAATCTATTTGCAGCCCACCAAAATCTTCCCATCGGTTCAACTTCTAATGCTTCAAGTAGAGCCAAAGCATCACCAAAAGTTGCCTTCTGTTGGTGTTGTGACCGTAAAACATCTAGTAAACTTGTGCGAGACTCTTCTGTACGTTGAAATCCACTTTGGATTTGTGTCTCAAAATTGACTTTTCTTCTATTCGTACGTTTGGTAGATGTACTGCGAACACGTAGACTTGACCTATTTGCACGAGGTGGGGAACGTTGTACTAGCTCTCTAGTGGTAATTTCATCATCTGAAATTCTAAGGCTAGTTGAGTCAAAAGGAGTTTGGATTCCATTTTCTTCTGCTGTTTCACCCACTGTTGTTCCATCATCACTATCTTCCTCAGCTTGCGTTTGTTGAATATGTTCACCGAGCATGAATGGCGAATGATACGATCCTCAAAGGTTGAGGCTCGTTTTGGCGGAAGATGGAGGCTGAAAGCTGGACTAAAGTCACTCTCTTTCAACCGGTCGGATGGAGGATGAACGAAGTGGAAGGATGGCGCCTGTTCAAGGGACTAAGGTCACTCATCTAGAAGGCTGGTCGAATGATGATGAGTAGAAGGTGGATTGATGGTCGCCACAAAGCCTGATGGAAGGAGGCAATGATGAGACAAAGTTAAACTGGGCAGAAATCTCAAATGCCTAGAAAAACTGAAGAAGAGAGAGCTCTTAAGAAAATGTTTGATCTTTATTGATTGTGTGAAAAATACAAGGCTGTGAGGGGACTTTATATAGAGTCCAAACAGCTATGCCCTTCTAGGGGTCTTTGAAGCAAATTACAATAAATGCAGCTAAATTAAAGGGATTGAATTAGCTAACAATTTTCTTATCTAATGGAAATTGAAAATTAAAATAAATGCAAAGGAGATCAAGACAAACAAAGAAAGTTAGTCAAACAATATAATGAATTCAGTCTTACCTTTGAACTGATTTGTAGGGATTTGTTTGACTTGCTAGAGAGGATGAACCTGGACGCCTTTAGGTTGGAAGAATGGTGAATAAGGAGACTTCAGGCCCATACTTGATAAGTGGCCATTCTTCTATGTTGCTTCTTGGACCGTCCTTGATGAAATGATCCTCTTCTTGATATGGTTTGGCTTGCACTTCGGTTGGACCTTGATCTTGGGAAATGGTCAACTTCGTCAGCTGCTCGGTTATATCCCGAACCTCGCGATCTGCAAGTAAGGTCTCTACAGCTTGGTTGAAGTTCTCCCTAAGCCTCTTAGCTCCTGCTCTAGTCAAGGGTAGGACGTTCATGGCTGGAACAAGGGTGGTTGGCAGAATGCTGGTACTTGGGATCACATCATCCTCTCCCTTTTGTAAAGGTTCTGTCCTCAGAACTGTTTCATCTGCATCATAAGGAGATAAGTCAGATACATTAAAGGTTGTGGAAATGTTAAACTCACCTGGAAGATCAATCTGGTAGGCGTTGTCATTGATCTTTTTCACCACTTTGAATGGTCCGTCTCCTCTGGGTGCTAGCTTGGACTTCCTTTGGTGTGGAAATCTTTCGGTTCTCATGTGTAGCCAGACCCAATCTCCTAGTGCAAAGCTGACTTCCTTACGACCCTTGTTCACACGTTTCGTGGTCTGCTCGTTTCTCTTCTCCATGTGCTCCTTGGCCTTTTGGTGTAGCTTCTTAACAAACTCGGCCTTGACTTCACCGTCTTGGCTGATTTGTTCCTTATGTGGTAATGGCACGAAATCCAAAGGAGTGCTAGGCTTAAAACCGTACACAAGCTCAAAAGGGGAGAATTTAGTAGTAGAGTGTGGTGTGCGGTTATAAGAAAATTCAATGAAAGGAAGACACTCAAGCCAATTTCGTAAGTTGTTACCGATTGTGGCCCTTAAGAGGGTGGATAGGGTGCGGTTCACGACTTCAGTCTGTCCATCTGTCTGGGGGTGGCAAGTGGTAGAAAAGAGAAGCTTAGTCCCAAGCTTTCTCCACAAAGTCTTTCAGAAGTGGCTTAGGAACTTGGTGTCCCGGTCTGAGATGATAGTCCTTGGCAATCCATGAATTCTGACAATCTCCCTGAAAAACAGATCAGCAATATGGAGTCCTTGTCTCTTATCTTTGGCAGTCCTAAAACAAAATCCATAGACACATCTACACAAGGTAGGTTAGGAATTGGTAAGGGAATATAAAGTCCATGAGGGTGTAACCTGGATTTTTCCTTTAGGCAGATGATGCATTTGGAGCAGAATCGTTCCACATCTCTTTTCAGGTGTAACCAGTAGAAGTGCTCATCAACAATGCTTTTGGTCTTTTGCACTCCAAAGTGTCCCATAAGACCGCCTCCATGGGCCTCTCTAAGGATCAACTCTCGCATCGAACTCTGCGGAATGCATAATCTTTTGTCCCTGAAAAGAAAACTATCATGTTTATAGTGCGGACCAATAGCACCTTTTGTACACTGCTGGTAGAGCTCTCCAAAGTCTGGGTCGTTGCCATATAATTCTTTGAGATGCTCAAAACCCATGATCTTGGCCTCCATGGTTGAATCAGGGCATGCCTCCGGGATAAGGCATCAGCTACAATATTCTCCTTGCCCTTCTTGTACTTGATCACGTATGGGAAGGTCTCCACAAACTCGAGCCATTTTGCATGTCGTTTCTTCAGTGTGGTCTGGCCCCTTAGGTATTTGAGCGTTTCATGGTCGGTATAGATGACAAACTCCTTAGAAAGAAGGTAGTGCTGCCATGTCTCCAAAGACCTTACTAGGGCGTAGAGCTCCTTGTCATAGGTGGGATAGTTGAGTGCAGCTCCATTCAGTTTCTCACTGAAGAAGGTAACCGGTTTCCCTCCTTGAGTTAGGACAGCCCCAATACCTGTACCTGAAGCATCACATTCAACTTCAAAAGTTGTGTCAAAGTTAGGTAAAACTAAGACAGGTGCATGGATAAGGCTATCTTTAAGCTTTTGAAAAGCTTCTTCCTATTTTGGCCCCCAAGTGAAAGCAACATCCTTCTTGATCACTGCAGTTAAAGGGGTAGCAATGGTACTGAAGTCTTTGACAAAACGCCGGTAAAAGCTTGCTAGGCCGTGAAAACTCCGAACATGACCAATGGTGGTTGGCGTGGGCCAGTCTTGTATGGCTTTGATTTTCTCTTCATCCACCTTTAGACCCTGTGAACTAACAACAAAGCCTAAAAATACCAATTGATCAGTGCAGAAAACACATTTCTTGAGATTAGCATAGAGTTGTTCTAGCCTTAAAGTTTCTAAAACTTTCTCAAGATGATTAAGGTGTTCATCCAAGCTAGTGCTGTATACTAGAATATCATCAAAATACACAACAACAAACTTACAGATGTAGGCTCTTAGAACGTGGTTCATGAGCCTCATGAAGGTGCTTGGTGCATTGGTGAGGCCAAACGGCATAACCAGCCACTCATATAGACCTCTCTTGGTCTTGAATGCCGTCTTCCACTCATCACCTTCCTTCATTCTGACTTGGTGGTAACCACTCTTCAGGTCTATCTTTGAAAAGATGGTGGCACCATTGAGCTCATCCAACATGTCATCCAATCTTGGAATGGGATGCCGGTATTTGACGGTAATGTTGTTGATGGCCCTGCAATCTACACACATTCTCCATGTGCCATCTTTCTTGGGTACCAATAGGACTGGAACTGCACACGAACTAAGGCTCTCACGGATATAGCCTTTGCTCATCATGTCTTAAACTTGCTTCTCTAGTTCCTTAGCCTCCTCGGGATTGACTCTATAGGCTAGTCGGTTGGGTAGTGGGGCTCCGGGTACAAGGTCAACATGATGCTCAATTCCTCGGATATGTGGTAATCTGGTGGGAATGTCTTCAGGGAAAACGTCCTTGAAGTCCTCTAACAGCTTGAGTACTTCTTCTGGTTGCTTGTCCTCTTTGGATCCTGAAAAATACCCTTCTCTAAAGACCATTAGTAGCACCTGCTCTTTCATTTCGAATGATTTAATAACTTTCCCAGGTGAAACATAAAGATTGGTCTTACTTACCTCAATTCCTCTTGACATTGCCTTTTGCAGTTCATGTACTTCTTGAGGGGTGAGGGGGGCTAGGTTATGCTTACACTTGTTATGGATGAAGCTGTAGTAGTTAGTCCGTCCATTATGCATGGTCTCTTTGTCAAATTGCCATAGCCTCCCTAGTAAGAGATGTCCGGCTTGCATGGGAACAACGTCACACACTACAATGTCTGTGTACTTGCCTATTTGGAATGGCACCGTGATTTGTTCAGCTATCTTGAGCTCGGTTTCATCGTTGAGCCATCTCAGCTTGTAAGGATGAGGATGCTTGGTCTTTTCTAGCCCTAGCTTATCAACCAAATACTTGCTAGCCACATTAGTGCAAGAACCACCATCAATAATTAAACTACATACCTTGAAGTTTATGGTGCATCTAGAGTGAAAGATGTTTTCTCTCTGGATTGTCTCAGCTTCAAAGAGTGCACTAAGAGCTCTCCTAACAACAAGTATTTCTCCTGCTTCAGGATAGTTGATAATATCATCATCGGAGTGTTCTAACTCTCCTGCTTCTCCTTCATCTTGGGACTCATACTCTCCATTTGCTTTGAGAATCATGATCCTTTGATTGGGGCAATCTCTTGCATAGTGTCCCTTTCCTTTACATTTAAAACAAGAAAGGTCATGAGTTCTAGTAATTGGTTGAGTTTGGGGCTTACCTTGCTCTGGTTTGAAGGCTGGCTTCTTGAACCTGAAGTCTGTCTCAATAGACTTCCCTTTGTCTAGGTCGCGTTGAGGAATCCAAGGGGTCTTGGTCCGGTTGGTGGAGGCTGTCTTCCTCTTGATAGCTAAGTGCAGATGCTCCTCCAAGTCATGACAGCGTTGCCTTTCCACTTTTCAGGCAATCCTATCTTGCAAGCCATCCAGAAACTGCGCCATTTGCGTCTCTGGTGTATCCTAAACTTCTAGTCTATTTTTAAGACTTTCGAACTCTTCAAAATACTCTTCCACCGATTTGCTCCCCTGAGACAATTTGCGGAATCTCCTTTGTATATCCCGGTGGTAATGAGCTGGGACATATCTCTTCCTTAGGCTGAACCGCATATCCCTCCAGGTAATGATCTGGGGGTGTCGATGTCTTCGCCAGTCTGAAACATCTCTGTCCCACCAAGCAAGAGCATTATCAGTAAGTTGGGCAGCAGCAAGTGATACTTTTCTTACCTCGGAATATTGGTAGTATTCGAAGATGTGTTCCATTCGTCTCTCCCAGTCAAGGTAGGCATATGGGTTGATCTTCCCAGAAAAAGTTGGGGCAGTCAACTTGATATCTCTGCTTCCTCCTCGATCATAGTCATTGCCTCGGTTTCTATCCCGTTGTGGTGGGTCTCGGCGGTTGTGGATCCCGTTAGGCTCGAGTGGAGGGGGATCATCTTCTAGATCAGGCATGCTCTCTTTATCTTCTTCACGTTCCCTTTGGTTCTGAGCACCTTGGGCACGATTCCTGCGTGGTCGCTGGTCATACCGATCCATACGAGTGCCAAGAAGTTCCATAGAAGCTTGCAGATTGGCAAGAACTTGGGCAATGTCGGTTAAGGTTGGAGCGTCTCCCATTGCTTGTTCCAGTTGATACCTGAAATAAATAAAAAAAATGTATGAATGTATTCTAAGGAAATAAGAAGAAGGAAATGGAATAGGCTTGGACCAACAGTTTATATATATTTTTTTTTTTAAATAGGAATTTGAAAAGCTAATAAACAGAATTTTTTTTTGTGCTTTTAGTTTTATGAATCAAACAGAAACAAAGCAAGAACAATAAGAATAAGTTTGAAAACTCTTTTTTTTTTAATCAAGAACGAAGAACAATAAGAACAAATTGAAAACTTTTTTTTTTTTTGAATTTTTCTGGAAAAATGAAGAACACAAACGGAAATAAGAAGATAAAGGATTGATAAAACCTGGGTTTAGGAGCTTTTAAGCTCTGATACCAGATGATACGATCCTCAAAGGTTGAGGCTCGTTTTGGCGGAAGATGGAGGCTGAAAGCTAGACTAAAGTCACTCTCTTTCAACCGGTCGGATGGAGGATGAACGAAGTGGAAGGATGGCGCCTGTTCAAGAGACTAAGGTCACTCCTCTAGAAGGCTGGTCGGATGATGATGAGTAAAAGGTGGATCGATGGTCGCCACAAAGCCTGATGGAAGGAGGCAATGATGAGACAAAGTTAAACTGGGCAGAAATCTCAAATGCCTAGAAAAACTGAAGAAGAGAGAGCTCTTAAGAAAATGCTTGATCTTTATTGATTGTGTAAAAAATACAAGGCTGTAAGGGGACTTTATATAGAGTCCAAACAGCTATGCCCTTCTAGGGGTCTTTGAAGCAAATTACAATAAATGCAGCTAAATTAAAAGGATTGAATTGGCTAACAATTGCCTTATCTAATGGAAATTGAAAATTAAAATAAATGCAAAGGATATCAAGACAAACAAAAAAAGTTAGTCAAACAATATAATGAATTCAGTCTTACCTTTGAACTGATTTGTAGGGATTTGTTTGACTTGCTGGAGGGGATGAACCTGGACGCCTTTAGGTTGGAAGAATGGTGAATAAGGAGACTTCAGGCCCATACTTGATAAGTGGCCATTCTTCTATGTTGCTTCTTGGACCGTCCTTGATGAAATGCTCCTCTTCTTGATATGGTTTGGCTTGCACTTCGGTTGGACCTTGATCTTGGGAAATGGTCAACTTCGTCAGCTGCTCGGTTATGTCCCGAACCTCGCGATCTGCAAGTAAGGTCTCTACAGCTTGGTTGAAGTTCTCCCTAAGCCTCTTAGCTCCTGCTCTAGTCAAGGATGGGACGTTCATGGCTGGAACAAGGGTGGTTGGCGGAATGCTGGTACTTGGGATTACATCAGCGAACAACGCTCATCTTGATCCAGATCATGTTCACCATAAATTTGACCGAGTAGCTCTTTAAAAGGAAGAGGTTTGCTTTCCAACACTTGGAAATATTTTCCATTTTTTCTCGCCTCCTACAACATTATAAAAAAACTATAAGCGAGCTCTTGACAAAAAAATAAACACATAATATATGTTTTATGAGTATTTTTGTGAAACTTTCCGTAATTCGATCATCCCACCATAGTTTAGGCATCTCTATCTGTTATGTCGTATGATTAACTCGAACACCGGTACGGTTGACTAACATATTGTAATGTTGTCGCAACCGATGCATATATTCTAACCTATTTCTCATCTCTGGCTCGAAAACAATCCTATCTCCAATCAGTTCATAGTATTTTTCTTCTATTCTTCGCTTACCGGGATTGTCTGGCATTCTTATGGCGTAGTCTTTTGTTTTTAACTCAATGTTTACGAGGCTGAGCAAAATTTCTGTTTTTCTTGGAATCCAATAGTTGTACTAAAATATTTATAAAAATACGTTATATATATAACTACTAATATAGAAAGATAGGTAAAATTCATGTTACCAAACTTACTTTTCTTTGACAGTTTGTTGGTGTTTCATCAATTGACTTATCCTTGTGATTAAGTCGACTTCCATTTCCTTCATGGTTTGATGTCATTTCATCGATTGATTTATCTTTGTGATTAGGCCGACCTCTGTTGCCTGGTTTGCTACCACTTCCTGATCTACTTGCCATGTTTATGTCGGGAAAAATAGTCGTTATTCCATGTAATAACAAAAGTTTATATAAAAAAAAAAAAACAGAAGAAGACAAGCAAGATTGATTGATGTTGTTTACCTTTAGGTTTAGTTTCAGACTACTGCATTGTTAACGAGAAGAGTATTTAAAAGAAGGAAGATGATGGACTTTGATTTTCAAATTTAAAATCTAAACAAATCTGCTAAAATTATGTAAGTCGTTTGACTCTTCTAGGTTGTTGATAGTTTTTAAATTTAATTATGTATTTTTAAAAATTTGGAATAATTTTTTATTATATTCCTTCCTCGATTCTATTTATTCCTGTACATTTTACATATGGAATAGTTTTATACTACATTCATTTTCTATTCTATTAATTCTTCGTATTCTAAAGGAATGAGATATATTTTGTATTCCATTTATGGTAACATTTTTGTGGAATTCACTTGAATAAGCCATTCCACATAATTTTATTCCTCAAATTAGGTCATTTGATCCTTATGAATTTAAAAAAATATATATTTTTTCAAAAAGAAAATTTGAAGAAAACTTATGAGAGTAACTAAAACAAAGGCAACCAAAACGAAAACAGAGAATAACAACAAAGCAATAGAAATTGCTAGTGTATGGGTCCTTCACTCGCCACATAATATTGTAAATGTATCTTCATAATCACACTCTTTGCAATCCTAAATGCCATTTTGTTATTCAATGAGCATATATGTCTATATATGTTGTATCAAATTCTTTATTGTACAGTGTATTGCTTACCTAATACTAATAGAGACGAGCCTATCAAACATCTGTATATCAACAGCTTTCATCATGGGTGTCAGTCCATGTCTTCTGCTCACTGAAATATTAGTTTTAGTTTGCTCATTTTATTTGAAGAGCATAAAATCACTATAGCTAGAAATTTAGTATAATTTCGATAATATAAACCTCTGGAGATCATCGTCCTTTCGCTTTTGAACTCTTTTAACCTTCTCTTCAATGAAATAATCAGCAGAACTTGCGATATCCTGGTTGTTTAGTTGCAAAGCTCTCTTAGCATCCCAGAAGTCCATACCCATAAAGCCATAACCAAGGATAGCGTTTTATCAGATATTTGTAGCTGCATCACAATGCCTAACACATTGACTCTATAACAACTGAACATCAGTAACAGTGAAGTTATTACATTACATAACTTGCTGATCACATGTGGCCATTTTGCATGGACTAACCTTTAGAGCAAAATATGAAAATATCATCATAATTCTTGTGTCAGGGGTCGACTAATTTTTTCATTTCCTTTAACTTGGTCGCATATTTCACTATTCCTTATTGTATTTGTAACGCCCCCGACCGCCCCTACCGGCGAGTCACCCATCCCTCCGTCGAATTCATGGGCCCCGCCCCTGTCCGACAGTCGGTGCATTATTTTTCCCAGACTACAACCGACTTATTTACTGACCCTGCAATCACCACATGATCTTTTCCCGTGTTTTGGCCTCACTCACATGGTTTCGGGAATCATTTCTCGAAAGGTCACCCATCCTAGTCCTACTCCAGCATAAGCACACTAAACTATGGAGTTCTCCCGGGACCTGTGATCGAAAAGATAAGTGCACTTTTATGACATAGGTAGCCAAATCAATCCATTTAAACTTATTCAAATAGGCCGGGCCCGGGTCGTTACAATTCTCCCCCACTAAACGGGAATTCGTCCCCGAATTCTGATCCTGACAGTGTGAGCCATAACCCCCAAACCCCAAGACAGTCTCCTGGGACATAACCAGTTTGACTTCTCAGGCTCTGATACCACTTGTAACGCCCCCGACCGCCCATACCGGCGAGTCACCAATCCCTCCGTCGGGCTCGTGGGCCCCGCCCCTGTCTGACAGTCGGTGCGTTATTTTTCCCGGACCCCAACCGACTTATTTACTGACTCTGCAATCACCATGTGATCTTTCCCCGTGTTTTGGCCTCACTCACACGGTTTCGGGAATCACTTTCCGAAAGGTCACCCATCCTAGTCCTACTCCAACATAAGCACCCTTAATTGTGGAGTTCTTTCGGGACCTATGACCGAAAAGATAAATACATTTTATGACATATGTAGCCAAATCAATCCATTTAAATTTATTCAAATGGGCCGGATCCGGATCGTTACATTATTAAATATTATAACAAACCTCATAATTTATTGTAGGTTCTTCGCTAGCAGTTTTCAGGTAAATTGATTTTCTTGACCGGTGAGTAAATCTGTCAAATGGAACTTAAATTGAACATGTTATGTTTTGTTTTTAATACGTGATTTAGATTAGTTAAGTAAATCAAATACTTCATCCGTTATGTTTTATTAAGTAAACTATATAAAAACGTGACATGTAAAATTGAAATGTATTTCTTTTGGTGATAAAAGTTTTTTTATCTATTGAAATGGTAGCCTGAAAATAATTTAAAAGTCTGATATGTCAGTTTGTAGGAAAGACATTCTAAATTTTTGATTGTTTTAAGTGAGATAATAAATTGTGATTTCTATAAATATCACTTAAAGTAAAACTATTTAATGTCATTCCATGCGAATCCCAGACAGCTACGTAGAACTACTAATGACCTCTAGTAGTGTGAGAATGAACGTACATAGCTTTAACCCCAACCAAAGGTACAACACAGGACCACTCTATAGTAACACACGACACTTTGTAAACATGAAAAGATTCCCTCGCGAAAATCAGACTTATCTCTGAAAAAAATAATTATTTTAGACAGAATTTAAACGTTATATATAACTTCATTCTAACCGCAGAAACAATACCTCACTTAAAGAAATTTCTTATTTTCTATGTAGCTCCTGACTCCCTGCAGATTTTGTTATCCTAAAGAACATATCTTCCTAAACTTCAGTCACTCTATCCTTATTTTTTTTTTAATGTTTCTTCTTCGAATTATTACGTAATTTGCTGAAATATTATCCTTAGGGAAACAACGAAACAAAGAACTATCAAAATTGTCTACCGAAATTTCGAAAGTCAGATGTCGTTTAGTGATTGTATACAGGCTTGTATATATCAATATATGTTTAGAATATATATATATAAGCAATTTATTTAAAAATTTGTTTAATTATTTTTCCTAGAGTGGAGTCTAGTTTTGAAGTCCTTTCATGTCTCAAAGTGACGTGGTATCATGGTGCTGCTGCCGTGCTTTGTTCTAAGCATTATTTTTTCCAAAATTTTATAATATTCTGATGATTTGTTTTCCCCGGCTTTGAAGATTTTCTATATATGTTACATTATTTAATCCGGTTAAAGTGTATGGTTGACTAGACTTTGTACAAAGTCCCATGGTTCCAAGCCACCACAATGTTCTAAATAAAAAAAAAAACTATATGTTTTGCAAATCATAAAGAAAATAAATTGTCATGGTTTATATATATTCATAATTTCTATACTGTTATTCAGACAATGACCCATATGGAGAAAAAACCTGTCGGCTGAACATGTGTGAGGGACCAACCAATGTAAGTGATGTCCTAACGGGAAGTAGAAACTTCAGTTCTACAATCTTTTCTGCATTGACTTTGTTACTTGTTAGACCCTAAAAATAAAATATTTCTCAAAGCTTTAGTTCTACAGTCATATCTATACTTTTTTGTCAAAGAATATTCTATTTAAATGTTTTAAAAGACAGTTACTAAGCTATGATCCATGGATCACATAGCAAATAACAAATTTTTTGAGAAAGATAATAGCATTTACATTAAGAACGAAAGATAATAGCATTTAAATTAAGAACAGAAATTTCTAAGAGTTAAAAACAACAACTAAGTTTAGAGGAAAATTACCGGTATATCTTAGAATTCGTTCTTCTTCTTATGGAGAAAATTTCAAATGCTTAGTTTTAACGGTGTTTTGAACTATTATTGTTAGACAGAAAAACTTCAGATCGTCTTTATATCAATTTCAAAAGCCTTTTTGAAGAAGCTCTTCGGGGCATAGTCTTCTTAACCGAAAAGAATGCAAAATAACATTTTCAAGCCGTTTTCCCTTTTTGAAGCATCACGCTACTCGTCATCGGTAACATATGAGTATGCAGTGGCAGACCCATCTTATAAGTAAGGGGTGACCCCTATAAAATCTATAAATTTTTGTTTGCAAACTTATGTGTAGTTTTTTGCGGTGAAGTGGATAAATACTATCAGTTGACTCCCGTGACAAAAGTATAAAAGGTTTGTAATCCTATTGTGACCCCGGTCAACAATGCATCTATCTTTGCCACTGCAAACGTTAATGTAAAAAGGAAAAAAAAAACGATAGTAAGGGTCCATTAGTAGTGTGCTTTCGGTCATTTGTTCAAATTTGTAATTTTATTGCAAAGAATATTTTTTTATCAAGAAAACTATAAGAGAAATCCAATCAATCTATTATTAGTCTGTTATTAGTTTGTTTTTAGTATTTAATCTACTTTCAATTGTATGGTTAATTAATCCACCACTGTTTTGCATATAATCTGATATTAATCTACATATAAATTATCTATAAATGTAGCGTTCGAATTTATAAAATATTTTTTACAAAAGTTGTTTTCATAATTTTTCCTTAATAAAGTATATATTTCATATTATTTTTCTATTATAGGTCATTTTGAATCAATTCATCATAATTGTTTTTGGAATAGTCTTCGATAAATCATTATTTTAATTTTTTATTGTTTAAATATGTTTGATTTCGAAACTAGGTTTATGATGGGTAACAACGATTAGGGTTTATGGTGTTAACGTTTTATTTAATTATCTGAATTATAATATAAATATGAAAAATGTTACCATTCAAACATATTTAAGTTTTATTATAAATAAATAAAAAAAAGTTTCTAAAAATAGTACAAATCTTATTATATAAAGTTTAATTTGTCGAGATTAGTAATTCACATAATTGCTTGTGGCAAGTCTAAGTTGATAAAATATTAAACTAATTAAAATTTTTTTTAGAAATAGTACAAATCTTATTATATAAAGTTTAATATGTCAAGATTAGTAATTCATATGATCGTTTATGGTAAGTCTAAGTTGATAAAATGTTAAACTACAAGAGAATTAGGGTTAGTGTTTCCTAGAATCTGCAGCAGATTATATTCTGTTTTCTATTTTTCCTTTTAACTGTTTTAATAGATTTAAAATTTTATTATTGTAAATCTACATAAACGCAGGTCCTAATCTATTATATTAGATATGATCATGACTTAAGGAAATATCACAAAATATGATCGGGTTAGTCTAATAAAATAAGAACCAAGAAAATACGATGCAGGTATGCTGTCAGAAATAAAGATTATATACAAATGCTCCAAATGTCATTAAAAAATGAAGGGTGCAATCATAAAAAAACATATGGAAATAGATACCACTCGCTCTTTTGATGTGTGCTATATCTGCATATTAGATTAAAGAGGTTAGATATGTATACTACTCTAAAGTATAACCATGTTTGGACTTAAATATACACATTTTAATGTATAACGATAAGAGGACAAGTAATTAATTTAAGCAGATATATAAAATTTGAACTTTAGTATAGTTTCTCCACCCCCACCCCCACCAAGTACCCAAAACTGATGATCTTCTTTAGTTTTAGTATATCTTTTTAATAGAAAAAATGACACATGTTGGCATGTTCTTTCTGGACATTGAAAAGGTTATGAATTGCATAAAAATAAGAAAATTATCATTATCTTATGATTTAATTATTTATTGATAGTTATTTGTTATCTTGTTACATGAAGTATAAATAAATGATTTATTTATATACATATAAATGTAATCTTCAGTATTTTAGGTTTAGCCAGTTTTTATTTAAATGTATCATACGTGTTTCAATTCGAATAATGACAGAATATTGGTATTATAAACTAAATAGTTGAATATTTAAATATAATTGAAACACAGTAGCTGATACTTTACATATAATGATAGCTAATTTTGACCAATAAAAATTATGAACATGAAGAATTTTAAATTTCTTAACATATTATATATTATACTGTAAATTAACTTTGACTATTTTTTTACTCTCCCCACATGGTACATGGATATGCAAGCAAGTACATTAAAATTGTAATATAATACTTTACATATAATGCTAGCTAATTTTGACCAATACAAATTATGAACATGAAGAATTTTAAATTTCTTAACATATTGTATATCATATTGTAAATTAACTTTGACTATTTTTTTACTCTCCCCACATGGATATGCATGCAAGTACATTAAAATTATAATGTAGAAAGTCAGTTTTTTACTCAACCTGGTCTTACAAAAAACAATTAAACAGTCAAATTAAATTGTAATGTTAAATTTCTTTACTTACCATTACCACCAAGAAAATTAAAAAAAAAAAAACCAAAAATATCTAACAGGCCCACACACACGTGTATGTTGCGCTTAACCTAAGCGCCTAACTTTTACGCACGTGTGTATGAGTGATGTATAGGTCTTTGTATTATCTTGTGTGTGTGTATATATAATTTGGCTAATCACATATATCTTATCTCACCGTCATCCTCTTCTTTCTCGCCTCTGAACTCTGTAAGGTCCCCATCTCTCTCTCTCTGTCTCTCTCTCACCTAATCATCTTCTTCATTAAGCACGATTAGGTTTCGAGTACACACGAGATTGATTCCATAATGCAGGATGTTTTTCTTGATTAATCACTAATTTGATTTTTGTTGTTTTGATGAATTCAAACCAGGACGAAGAAGGAATCTGAAAAAGGCGAAAAGGTTCGAAAGAGATGGCGGCGGAGTACAACAAAGTCGACGAATCCTCCATTGCTCAAACTCAAGAAATGGCGGCGGAGTACAACAAAGTCGACGAATCCTCCATTGCTCAAACTCAAGAGGTAATCAAAATCAATCTCTTGACGAATTGTTTGTTTGTATTGGTTTCCGATAATTTCAAAGCGGTGGTGCAATGATTAGGTGTCTTTCATTTAAGTAAACAACAATACTAGTGTTAAATTGTATCAGCAAACAACAATACTCGCTTTTGAACCAATCGTAACAATTCTGTAGATTTTATTAAATCTGGGTAGCAATAATAGATTTGACTACGATAGTCAATATTAGAGCCTGATTAGTAGTAGTCAACGTCGAATTTTTTTTTTTGCCAAACCTAATCGTGGGCTTTTCAACGACGACATATACGTTTGTTTTACATCTTACGTCTACCATTCAAACATCAGTTTTTGTTTTTTTGGATTCCCTGGTCAAAATTAAATATTTATATATGCCAAAACTTTTATAATTTCGAAAACTTGGTGGACTCCTGAATGTTTTTTTGTTTTCGTTTATGTTGGGTGGAAGATATTTCTGATAGGAATAAATCTTAGATAGAGATATTTTAGTGACATGGACGGCCTTAAACGATAGACTCATCTTCTTGATATCAACGGTTTCTTGTATTGCCACATGGCAGTTTTTGGACACTTGTTCTCCATCCGGATCTTCGTCTCCGGTTTCGATTTTGTTTTGGTCAATGCGCATTGTCGTCTTTTTCCTAGTTTTGTTTTGTTTTGTCCGATTGTGATTGGTAGTTTGGTACAGTTTAACCTCTTTTGATTATTGATTGACAATCAGTTTTCATGACATTCAAAGAGTCCTTTTGGACATTACTTTTCAGTTTAGGGTTTGTCGGCAAAATGATCATTATCCTTTTTTGTTTTGACCTTAGGCTACCCTGGAAAACAAGTATGGAGGACTTGTGCCAAAGAAAAAGCCTCTGATCGCGAAGGTGAAATGTCTCTATGTAACCTATATATTACATATATTCGTATGATTTGTGTTGTTTTCTTATAATCTATGAATAATATTTGACTTCAGTTGTTGATATTATCGATTTAAAACCAATGCAGGATCCCAAACGTGCTTTCTTTGATTCAGCAGATTGGGCTTTGCAAAAGGTATATTATCAATTCTATGCAATCTATTTAACTTTCCAATGGTTATTTCAATTGACCTTTTTCCCCTTTTAGGCATATATTATAATTTGTATTTATTGCGTTATTCCACAGCAAGATGCTAATGTGGATGAGAGAACAATAGCGGCAATCGAAAATTTGAAACCCAAACTGGAGGTATATTGTTGTAAATCTACTTACTTAAACCAGTACCAACTGCGTTTACTGATCTTAATTATTCACCTTAAGTTTCTTTTTATTGTATTTTGTTTTCAGAGAACACCTCACAAGCAACTTCCCCCTAGGGGCCGCACCTTTTTTTGTGGACAAGAGAACATGGTGAGAAAATAGTTATCGTATAAATACTAATTAATGTGTTATGTTTCATATTATGTAAATGCGGTTCATTTTTAACAGATACTTATGAAATTTTGTTTTGATCTACAGACAGATTCGAACTTTTAAGGTACAAAGGCTTGACGTGGAAAATGGAACGTGATTTGGTTTGGTGAGAGAGAGCCTACTCACATGTTTCATGTTTCCATAAACAAAAACAAAAACAAAAACTTTTTATGCATATGCGTACAGTTCTGTTTTGGCTCTTGGATCCATAACATGCTTGTCGTTTCAATAATTGTTGTTGTTTCTATCATTTTCTTGACATTGAACCTTTTGGGATTTAATTTTCCTTAAAATAATCAAATTATCTATTAAATTTTTGGGGAGCTTTGAATTTTAACAAATAAAAATGATTGTGGAAAGATATGGACAATGAAAGTTCACTCTATGTGAGCATGTTGATCATATAATAAGTTTAAATATTACAGTTTAGAATGATGACGACGAGAGAATAAGTAATATGTATGTAACTTTAGTTTGAATAGAATAGATCTATTTATGTGAGTAGAATGCATTTCAGGTGTCTGGAAGAATAGAATAAATATTTCACTTTTAGATTAAATTTGAGATTTAAAATTCAAAACTGACATATAGATTTGTTGAAGAAAGGTTCATTTGTTTAGATGTGTAGAATATGTTAAGAAAGTTTGATAAATATCAGATGGATAATGACTAGATGGATGAGTCAGAGAGTTTGTGGTCCAAAACTTGAAAAAGAGGTTATAAGATACAAAACATCGAACTAGCAAATCCAACAAAGTCATGAATGTGTTTTTTTTGTTGCTAAAGACTTATTCACTTTCTCTCTCTTCTGTCTGCGTTTTGTTTCGGAAACCCTAAAACTAAGGAAGAAGAGTCAGCGTTGAAATTAGGGCTAAATCCTTTAAGGAGGTTGTGATGATAGCTGAGAATGGTAGTTTAGAGTCTCATGATGACAGTATTTATGGTATTTAAAGCGTTTGAGAATCCGAATGTTTATTTTCTTAGACGATTTAGTTTCTTACTGGGAGGATATAAATGATCGTTTGACATATCTCGCATGTTGTGAGCAATCGGATGCTGCTAAGAAGATAGCTCAGAGCCTCAGAAAGACTTTGGACTGTCAACAGTTAGGGAGACATTGTTTATGTACCATGTTGGTTCTGAAGAGAATGAAGCTTCTTTGTTGTATAGTAAGACGTGTTTAAACCCTCCAGATCATGGATCTTTAAACAGTCTTAAATCGGTAAAGATTCTCAGGCTGGGGCAGATCACCAAAAAATGATTCGAAAGCTCAAATAATATGTTGATGATTTCCATGCTGAAGCTTCTATATCTGAAGATGTTGTTTATAGGTGTTTTGTGACGGAGTTTGTGGGCCAGATTAAATGTACAAAACAGGAGGCAGATCTTGAACATATATAATATGATGAGATATACTGGAAGATCTTGCTAGTAAAGTTGACCGTGAAAGAAATGATGATATTTGTAGATTCTTGTATTGAGCCTCTCATAGGGGAAGAGTGTAGTGCGCGCGGTAATATATAAAGAAGCCTTGAAGAAAATGACAAGGACAGACCGGAAGAGGAGATTCATTTGGTTGGAGTGTCTCGTCAAGGAGAAGGAGAAATTAGTTTAAACAGCTGAGAATAAAGAGAGAAAGAAACTTGAGGTAGTCTCTCAACTGATTAACGATCTGCAATCTCATATAAACACAGCGCTGTTACTAGGTTTTGACCTGAATGACTAAGAGTTATTTCGGCACTCGAGTTAGAGAAAACTGAATGCTACGAGACGAAGATATCCAATTTTCGAGAAGAGCTAGAATTTAGCAAGAGAATAAGGAAACCAAATATGAGAAAAGGAAAACAAAAGAGAAGTTATCAGCAACGAAAGCCTTGCGCGCCATGTATATTCCACACACACATCATCATATAATATATAAAAGTTGAAGGCATATAACATTGAGGGCGTCCACATAGGATTAAAAAACTCGATTTAATTGGTCCATATCAGTATATTCATTAAATAAAAAAAATGTTAAGTATGATTAGGACGGAAAAACTTGATTTAATTGGTCCACATCAGCTTTTTAATCAAACCAAAAATTATTAACTATAATTAAAATATTAAAAATTAATTTAACAAATTATGTCCAACAAAAAAGTAAATTCAATCTGATTGATCCAAATCAACATATTTATTAAATCAGAAAATGTTAATATAGTTTAAAAATTCAAAAGTTAAAAAAAATTAACAATTAATAATACAAGTATAAAAAAAAGTAACCATTATCAATTATCAATTTTAAAAAATCTACAACAACTCTATTTAACAATTAAAACAATGAAAACTGAATAAAAATATAACATAAAACTCTTGGAAGATATGATGGAGAATGAAAAAATGAGTTTGCATGATCATTAGAGCTTCCTAACAAAATTTAATGCGAATCAACATGAATCAAAATTATATATGTAGTAATACACAACATCAATAAGACTTTCAATTAAAAACTAAATATTTGAACACATAAACCTTCAAAAAAAAGAATTATAGAAATTCTATGGAAAACAGAAAATAATACCAAAATCTTAGCAAGATTATATTTCTCTAAATCAAATGTATATGTACGTCAAAGTTGGATAATTCGATAGGTGTCATTGTTATTATTTTACCTAATAGTTTTTTAATATTTATAAATAAAAATAGGATAAATTACACATTATATATTAAATTCTTTTATATAGTTCAAATTTTTTATAATTATATTATATTTTTAATAATTTTAAAGATAGTAGCTAAAAAAACTAAACTAAAATATTAATACAAATTCGCGCGTAGCGCGAGTTATATACCTAGTATATATAAAAACAATCAAAAGTTTGTCCTTAAAATTTTTTATATTATTGTTATTTCTACTCTAAAATATATAATTGTATATATAAAATTATAATTTCTAAAATATGATTAAAAATAATTTTAAAGTTGTTATTTTATTGTATATTGTGATTACATTTAATTAATTTGACAATTATAAACTAGAATAATAAAATATAAAATAATGTTAAATTATTTATTATGAATATAAATCATCAGTGACGTAATTATTAAAAATGAATAACTAAAATTATATAAACAATATGTATAATTCAACTTTTACATATTGTATTAAGAACTGATAAAATTATCATCAACTATCTTCTTTCTTTTTCTTTATACTCTTTTGGTATTATTGTCTTTTGTTCCTCATCAGCAATGTTGCCGTTTTTTTTTCTACTCTTTTTGTTTTTTCTTGTATTGTTAGAGCAGAATTATGTTTGCAGTTTGAATCTTCAATTTTATCTTTTTCTTCATTTGGTTGCTTCAATGCAATTTTATCTTCTTTTATATCTCCTTGATGTAGAATATTTTTGTTGTCAAAAATTGCTGTAATAAATTATAATTAAAATTTATTCTTATATCCAATATTATGTTAGTTACATTTGTTATATTTATTATATCTTTTATATTTATGATATCACCAGAGACACCAGTTACTGTTAATCTAGCTGAAGTCGATTTTAAATTAAATGATGTAATTTTTAAATCAAATTTGAATTTTTTTTCCAATAAGTTTTTTCTGATATAAATGAAATAATTGCTTCCTCTGATATGTCATTGTACATTTTTCTGTAATTTTTATTATAATTTTTAACTCAAATTATTGTATTTATTGAATAATTATTTGAGTATTGATAATACAAATATCATAGTTACATCATAAGTAACAAAATCTGTAACTAATATGTTTAACATCTTTGTTACATCTTTATTGAAAGTTGTCAATAAAGTTGTTTCCGTATCATTTTATTAGTTACCCTCATGCCATTCTTCATCTCCTTCAGGTAATCCATGAGCAACACATGATTCTTGAAATCTTTTATATTCTTTTCCTTTTACAGTTAACATATCTTCAAAACTTGTAGGTCCTTTTAGGTGATTAATAAGAATTCTAAGATAATATAGTTCACCAGACGAATGATGAACGTTAATACAATCTTCCAATTGATTGACTCTTTTCTCTTTTTGTCCATGTGTGATCCGATTTATTCCAAATGTACCTTGACAGAAATTGAACATATGATAACTTTCTGGCATCAGGATCTGATTTGTTTATCTCTAAATAAGCCATAAACATACTTGGTCTGCTTTCATAATTAGTAGCAACACTATTTATATAACTTGAATTATTAAAAAGCACAAGTTGCTGACCAGGAAGGTGTATGCTTAATCTCTGGACTGAAGGATGTTGATGATGTATCTCAAATTTAAAAATTAGACATCGATTCACAAGCGGATATATATCGACAATCAAGATAATTTACAATCTCATTTATATCGTACTTAACTACATCAAAATTAGTTGTACTGTTATTGACATTATTCTCCAGTACAATTGTAGCTTTATCAACGCTTTTTGTAATATACTTGAATAGATATTTAATTGCACTTGTTTTATTGCAAAATTCAACATTAATATGTGCTCGGAAAGCCTTAATAACTCTAAATTACGGGGAACAACATATAGATTATCTAATTTGATATCACATTTCATAACATAGCTAGACATTATATCTCTACGCCTATATATAATGTATCATTTTTCATCAATACATGATGAAAGATAAAATGGCTGGGGATATTTTTTAGTGTAAACACCATTCTCCATACAAGAGTTATTTGATCTATTAAGTCCACATGGTCCATGTATCATATGTTGTTCTACTAATTCATAACCTTCGGGATCAATTACTCTATCAGACAATTCAACAGTAACATATTTATCAATATCAGTTGAGGAAGCAATATCACATTCACATTTTAATCAAATAAGAATATGTGAATGTGAGAGACCCCTTTTTAAAACTCAATTGTATAAACTACTGCAGAAAAAAGAAAAAATCAGTATATAAATAATTAGATTTTATCTAAATAATTTTAAAACCCAAACATAAATATATGTACCTCCATTTATTGGTCCAAAAAATTCATTCTTTTTAATAAAACCATTAACTCATCTAATTTTAAAACTCGTGATTCAATATCAGGCCTGTCATTGGCCGATGTATCACCAGTAAGTTCTAAATATTCATTTATTTCATTCCATTTAAGATTAGCAGTCATGGTAATAGATAATTCAGGATTTCCAAAACAACGACAAAGCGCCATTGCATCTTGATATTTTCTGCCATATATATTGGACTTTCAGTAATTGATGATGACAATATAATTCTTTTACCAAGACTACGTGGATCATGATCTCCCTTCAATATGGCATCCTTTACATTATTATATACATCAGCTC